GGTTCAGGCTGAGGAGGATGAGAAGCAGGAAAGGATTCCTGCTAGAAGCGCTGCTGTCTCTCTGCTCTTCCTATTTAGGTCCAGTTATATTCTCCTCCTCTTTCAACTTCTCTTGAATGTGCTGGTGCTCCTCTCTCCTGACACTGCACTACCCCAACCTGAAGGTATCCTGGAGGGCAAGAGAAAGCATTGTGGAGGTAGAAGAGCAGGCTGCAGCAGGGAGAGCTCCCCACTGCAGATCATGCTGTCTCCAAAAGGATGCTCTGTGGCATCTTAGGAGGTGGATGCGACTTCCATTCGAGAAGTATCAGACAACCAAATAATGGCTTAAAAAGCCATTTTTAGTTAAAAAGCTATTTTTTATATAAAAAGCTATCACATATTTAGGTGATCAGAAGTGCTTTTTTCTGATTTAGCACACGTACTAGATAGGAAACACACATATTAGATAGGGAAAAATAAAACAAAACAAAACCCTGAGTCAGAAAAAAGCAAAGTATCTATAAAATCTGATGTCATACAGCACAAAAGATTGTCCTGTGCAGTTTAAATGCTCACTGTAACTTCACAATGATTTTTTGCCTGGAACTCTAAAAATTCAGGAAAAGCACAGGATGTGAGATTTACTAGTTACAGGTGGTATTTTCAGGGGTTCTTATGAAGTGTTAGTCACACAAGTGAACTGAATAACTGTTCGTATTTAGCAGCAGCATTACTTAGTTGCATTGTCATGTGTTTTTACATCTTTAAAGTTACATCAATACAAGTAAATATTGTTGAAAGGTGCTATACACTGAAAATGAACAGGAAATGTCCTGAGAAATCCAAATTACCTTTCATCAAGGTAGATTCTCAGCTTCTTCCAATTTAGCGTTCTTGTGCAAAAGATAAACTTAGCTATTTCTTTCGGCGAATCGTCTAGTATGCCCTTGGACATGAAGTAGTTGACTCCCTGAGATAAAATACATGTATGTATGAATATGTTTGATCTTCATAATGTGTTTAGGAACAAGTACTGTACTTGGCAATGTAGGAACATAATCCTACTAATTAGTTGGCTTGTTTTTCAGAATGATTCCTCTTCCTCTAAATCACATATCAACATGCACTCTAAAAATTATAAACCAAATGCAAAGAAAAAATTTATAGTTATGGTTGAGATTTTACATATACTCACAGTAGGAAATTTAAAATTATGAACCCCGTAACGAGCATGATGGTTCTTTAATAATTTAACTTTCTAGACGCTATTTTGGTTTTCAAACTTTTGTAATTGTATTCAAAATGCTGTGGGGATCATAACTTTTAATTTCATAACTTCTGTAAATAAGAAAATCTTAGCCATAATGTGTTCAGTCTTTAATATCTTTCATTAAAACATAAATGTTCTCACATGTATATGATGTATCACATTCAAACAGATGCATTAAATGCATTTGTTTAAATGTGTAATAATGCAAATAAACACAAGCACGCTGATTTCAAAGCATAAATATCAACATATATAAATATGCATACACATAAATAAGAACACTGTGCCTAATATAAAAATGTAAGTTTAAAAAGATAGAACAATTGTGTATATTTTATATTCATATTATGATTTCCAGAATTTTCCACACTTTGCCAAGCACACATATCTTCTAGAATATACATGCCAGTTTTCATTTAAAAGTACTTCAGAGATATTCTGGATTTGTTCTGTTAATTGAAATACTCCAAAGCATAAAACTATTTTTCTTATGATCTCAGAAAGCAAAACCAACCTAATGGATTTTAAAAACGTTCACATTTTTCAACAACGGAAACAGAAACCTGAGAGAAAACTAACCAACCAGCTTCCGTCCAATTTGGCAGGGGCTGGGAGAGGTTCTGAGCACTTGTTACAATACTTAAGTACATTATCTGTCGACCATACTCTAATGCTGAAATAATGTCAAATACGTAGGACAGTGCATTTCTGCACAGGATAAGGTACCAAGGCCAAAATCTAAATCACCTTTAAAATATTCCTGAAATATTTTTTTCATAAATCTTCTGTTTTCAGACTTCACAGTATTTTACAAGTCTGCCCTTTTAGTTTACATTACATCTATAGAGATGAAGGGGCAACCTGTCATTTACTGTATAAACTAACTTCTGAGTGCTCTTCAATTTTGCTTAGAAATAAAGGACTGAGTGCAAGTTTGGGAAGTTGTTCTGTGAAGTGGATTAATAAAGCAAACTCTGTTATATCAAGCTAAAAAAAAATTAGAATATTTGCTTAAGATATCGGTAACACAAGTTAAAACCCAACAAACACTTGTAATAATATCTAGGTGATTTTACCAGTCCATAATTTTTTTGCTTATATATTTATAGATAATAGTAGTTAATCAGCATACTTTGTTGTTGTTGTTAAAAGAATGTTTATAAAACAAATACAAATATAAAGGTTTTATACAGGTAAGAGAAAAAGAATATCCTAGCAATTTTAGGCCCCATTTTAAAGAAGAATATTTATTTAGGACTGTAATGAAAAATGTATTGCACTATAAGCTTGAATTTAAGTCCAAATTAGATCATATTTAAGCTTGTCCAAAATATGGGTGGGCAACATAAGGTTAAGTGCTTTCCTGAATCAGAGCAAAGTAGGAAACTAAAAATAGGGTATCAAAATCAACGTCAATTGCATATTAATTCCTCAAGTATTCTGGCAGTTCATACAAGACTGGCAGCAGAACATCTCCTTTTACATATATCCTAACTTAACGAGGCTTATGCATTTGCTTCAGCAATAAGCACTCGCTTAAGACAACACAAACTGAAGCCTGGCAAGGAAGTCTCGGCAGCATTTCTGCTGCAGTTGTTTAACAAACACTTCTGCAACACATTCAGAAAATACCTGGCATGTCACAGATGAGGCAGGATGAAAATAATACCTTAATGGGCTGGTTTCTCTGTGACAGTAAAAGCCGTAAGTAATCTCTCTTGTGCACAAGATTTCCACTCAACGTAGGCTCTTCACCTGACAGGCTACCAAGTCTTAGCAAAGAGTTTCTCTAGTTCCCCCTCTCTCATCTAACCAAATATAACCCTTGACGACATTTTTCTCTCTGAATGCAGTCTCGTTATTGATTTTCCTCTTCTCCTTCACAAATAAACAAGGTACAAGTAAAATATACTTCAGCACATGCCATCATTTTTAGTTGCTTTTTATTTCTTCCTAAGCAACCAGAAATAGAAATAGAAAGCTGATTTCTCTTTAACATTCTTAAGTTTTGGCTCACGGCAAATGAAATTTATTTACAAGATTTATGGCATGCCATTGAATCTGCTTTTTGTAATACTGTAAACACTGCCTTGAATTCCTCTCAGAACCCGCACTTCAAATAAATCACTGTTGGTAGCTAAAATGGTTGCTTGTGGCAGGCATAGCAGCCGAAATAAGTAGCTCTACACTCTTAAAATCTATGTAAAGATTATTTATCAGTCATCTGGTGATTCTCTTAGGAAGCATTTGACTGAAGTCAGGTAGGCAGATCTGTGTCACTACCTACCAGGTCTGAAGATGTCTTTTTAACGCTTATGAAATGCTGCAGGATAAGCACACCCACCTAATTCTGATTCTGATTTAGTGGAAGAGTAGTTAGGTGAACAGAGCATGAGACAAGATTTCCAGTCGCTCTGTGTCTGCCTAACTTGTACTGGGGAGGCTGCTTGTCACTACAATGTTCTTAGCATTAGAGAATTAGGGAAGATGCCTTAAGGATACCCTGCCTTTGTGGCAAGACTGTTCCCACTAAATTTCAGACAGCTCCAGATAAAATCTTACTGTATGAAAGAGTTTATTTAAATTATATATGCAAATAACAATCATGATTATAGACTAATGGTAACAACAAAAGCCATATGTTGCATTTCTTTGTTATTTTTTCTAGTTGTTCCCTTTTTTCCAGACACAGTGCTTGTTTTACCAACCTATTCTATTGTAGCACTGGCACCCCTTGCCTGTTTTCTACCCATTTCCAAGAGTCTTTCCATTCGCTTATATCCATACAGGATATTTAAAATTGAAAACTTTTATTTTTTTGGTATTGTTTTTATTTCTGCATTGATTGTCTTCTGTGCTAAGAGGGCTTTCAGAACATATCAGTACAGCAATCAACGTTAAAACTTTTGTAGTTGCCTTTGAAACCTGTTTAGATATGTATATAAAACAAACTAGACATACCCTAAGGTAACAGCTTAGAAATTTTGGAATCGGTATTTTTCTACACATATACATGATTTCACTTTTTAATATTTAACTGGAATTGTCTGCAAAGTCAGAGCTAGGAGACAATACAGCTTTTCACCTAGTGCCTATTTGAAAGGAGTACAGGAAAATACAGGACAAATACATTTGTCAGTAAAGACAAATTTAATTTAATATTTGAAATTTCAAATTTCACATAAGTGGATGTACACATGCTCTATTTGTTTAGCTTAAATAGTTTTAAAAAGTGACTAAGAAAATAACTATTAGCATGTTAACATTAACATATTTAGGTGACAATTTTGTGAGTTATGCTTTTTGCATTTTGGTAGGATTATGTATGCATCAACATAGAATGCTGATTTCTTTCTAGTATGTATTTTATTAAAAAAGATGATTTTGATCACCAATAAAATTAAAACATTCTTAAATAAAACCTGAAGAAATACAGGAATTCAAGTTTAAACACTTGCTTAATTATCTAGATAAATTCTTTGGAGGCAGTGACAGTCATTTTATTCTGCATATAAGTATCTGGCATAGCAGAGCCTCAATTTCTAATTAGGGCTTCTAGGTAAAACTGACATTATTAGTAAATAATAATTAGACATGTATGCTATTGTCATTTCCATTTTTCTAGGGAAATGCAGTATCTTAATGTATTTCATGGTGCACGTTCTGGAACAAAATGAACAGTAATGTTATATTTTCTAATAGAAATTTTTAAGATTATTTTCCTAGATTTTGAATCAAGTCAGTTGGTGACAAATGAGGACACAATATAGAACATACATTTCAAACAGTGTCTCTTACACTGTATGTCTTTAAAGAACAGTCTCAGTGATACACGTTTATGGCAGCAGAAATCACATGTAAAATGTAGAAATATTTTTCATGTTACATAGAATTCATAACCAATAATTTACAAGATTAAAGTTCTCTGGCTTTAATGTAGAGTTTTGAAAGGTTTCAGCTGTCTGGTCAATTCTAACTTTTTAGACAAATCACACAAAAGAACTTCTTCCTTCTACAACATAGATACACTTTTTATATCCAAAGGACAGATAAATCAATGCATCTAAAAACTGGCTTGTTTAGTAGGACACTATGAAACACAGTAAGTTTTCAAAAAATCTGGTTAGCAATATAGAGCACAGTAAATATTCCATCATCTACAGAGACTGTCTATAATTACAAGTCAGGTAAGATAGCTTTATGCATTTATAATGAAGAGAAGGTCAGAAAAATGACCTCACTGGCAAAAACCAGGGGTAGTTGGTAATGAATGAGACAATCAGAAGAGCAGAAAACCAAGGTTAGTATAAGCACTGTCTTACTGTACTTTATTGTTATTATGCTAAGTAAAAGAAATCCTGACCTCTTTAAAGCCTGAGTGTTTTGGTACAGTCCAGTTTCCACTAGATACATAAAAATAAATGCTATTAAACAGAATGTATTAGAATCATTAAGAATGAAACAAAAGTTATATTTTCTTTCCTAACCAAAGGAGTCTCTTCTCCACCTTGAGTTCCAATTTTAAGTGCGTAACATAGCTCCACGTAACAAACTTGCCAAAATATTTTGTAGGGAGTTAGAACGAGGACACAAAACAGTGGGAAATAAGTTCTGTTTGCTTACAAATTCTGAGTTATAAGTGTATGAGATATGAAATGAGCATTGCATGAGAAACATTTCACATACACCATACACTCTTTAGAATAAAATACAGCAGAGACCACATAGGCAGATTAAACAACATAATATTCATATTCAGGTGTTAAAACTAACACTAAACCAGCCCCTCTCCCCAAAGAAACAAAAACCAAGTTCCAAAATCTTGGCTACAATGGTGCTGCCACATGAAAAAAAACCAAAGCCAACAGAAAAAAAAAAAAAAGAGAAACCAAACATGCACTGGAGGGTTGGGTTTGTTTTTTCAGATTATGTGTAATGTGATTAGGCACATCCCTTTGGCAGAATGTGAGCACCTGCCATGAATTATGCAAGCTCATGCACACAATCAATACATTAAATTACAGCAGATATCACAACACCATGCACACAACAATGGCTAACCAGAGAATCCTACCACAAAGTGTGTAGATGCTCTTCCCTACCCCGTGAGCCACCGCTAGCTCTGGAGCTGTTGCTGGGGAGCCTGGTTACCCATTTTTCATGACATGGGCGGTGTCCTTTGGAGAATCTTGCTCCTGTGGCTGTAAGTATTCCTATTTTTATAGTAATTTGATCAGGTCTGTTATCAAATGTAAAGCAGAGTTTGGCAGGAAATTCGGAGACACAGTTTGTAATAGTGGAATGTCATATCATATATTCCAGTACCAGTGTCCTTATAATAATAATTCTGCCAATATCACAGTCAAAAACAATAAAAGCAATAGTATTTGTGAATTCTCCTGAAACTCAGGCCCTGAATGATTCCTACCAGGCTATGGTGCTCCACAGGGAGAGAGGAACAGAAGCCCTTAGGAGATATCCTGAGGTTCTTGTCTCTCACTAGGCCTGAAGCAGACTGTTTGTACTACTGGTGTACAACACAACCATCGCGAACCCAGAAGTGCAGCATAACAATCTAATTTAGGTATACTATAAAGCTTTTTGTGAAGGCTCCAAATGTTTGAAACCTACCAAGATTACTTTAAATTAGGTTGGAATATAACAGCGTATCATAAACTAAGATAGTAAGTGAAAAATTACAGGAAAACAAATTGAAAGACAAAAAAAATTTGGGTGGATAATGCTGTTACCAATTAAAACTTGATACACTCTTGAAAACACACTGAAGTTATCTAAAAATTGCATTTCATTTGAAAAGCTTTAAATTTATTACTAAATGCACTAATTGCTGAAAATCAGTGCTAATCACTCAAGTGGCAAGGTGCTGATAAGATGTTTCAGCACTGCATATCACAGTTCAAGGCAGAGCTCTACCAGAGAAATTACAAAATACTGTAATTTGTGACTAATAAACATAATGGGTTTCTTTATTGAGCAGAATATGAGATAAAGCAAGAATTTAAACAAAATCACATTATAGTAATGATTCATATGACTGCTTTATTTATTTCATCCCACGGTCACAAGTTCATGTTTTCTGTATTATATCAGCCGAGTGAACTACTGGCTTCTAGAAGTATATCTTTCCATGTCTCTTAATCCTTTTCCTACTTTGGATTTATTCAATTACTACTTTCTTGTGTATGGTTAAATACAGGCGGGAAGTTAACGCTACTTTTTGGTCAGTATTAACTTCCTGCCTGTCCCTTCTTTGCCTAGGAAACATGAAGTAGGAGTCACAAATCTCTTTCGTACACAAAAAAGGCTGTCGATTGGGCATTAATTGCATCTCTCCCAGGCAAAAGCTGTCTACTCTCAAACTGTTTTCTTCTTTGAAAGGTGGCACAGCAAAAGTAGAAACTGACTTTTTCCAGTTAGTTACATGAATTAATAAATGGAAATCTTTTAGTTTGACATGAGGTATTTTTCTGAAAATAAATCTAAGTTGCTATATAGTTTAAGGAAAGATAAGGTTTATGCATAACAAACATCCACAGAAATCAAATCCAACTGATCTTTAAGGCAGTTCAGCAGTACATCTTTTTTATAATATTTCAGTATTTCTTCCTTGATGGTGGAAATATTTAAAAATTCCTTACAAGAAACCACAATTGCCATAGAAGTAATTCGCGTTACTTTGTACGTCATCTTGCTTTAACTGAAGCAGGATCAAATTCACCCTGCAAAATCATTTTAATTTATATAAGCATATCGTCAGCCTTTTAAAATTCACCGTCGTCTCTTTGGTTAGGATCTCTGCCTTATTCCTAAGTCAATATATGTTTATGAGTTTCTGGCATCTACAGGTCAGACCGCTGCATAGAGCACTTAAGAGGCAAGCCACGTAAATGATGTGCACAGGTACCATACACAGAAAAGGGCTGTAACTTAGTATAAATCATTCCTATGATAAACCAAACACTTATTAAAACTTGGCTTTTTAATATAGCTATAATTATAAAGCAATCAAAATTTATTACTGTTTAATCACAGTTTTTTACCATCAGCAACAGTCCACTTACCTCATCAGGGTTGGCATTAAAGGTGAGACTGCCCTCATCTAGCTGCATATACAATTTTCTAAAAGAAAATCCTAGAGGTGGATTCTTATTGTATATAGAACAGTGACCCCAAGTGGATTTGCACAACCTATGAAAACAGAATTAGTCTATTATCAAAATTCCTTTTTGTATTTCATGTATTTTACAGCAGTAAAATGTAATCAACACTTCAAAGCCAAATATTCAAATTATAGGGGGTTAGAAATAGGTTGTTTGTAACGGTTATTTAGCCTTTTGCATGTGTGTTTCTGAAGTCTTCAATTATATGATTATTGTTTTTTTTCTCAGGCAAGTTTTGATGTATTTGAGTGCAAGCTCAAAACATATCCCAGTAGGTGGCACCATAACGACACGCACACAGCTAAGACCTACAGCACTCCCAGGATCTGAACACTGGATAATGGCAACAAGCTTTGATCCAGGGAATTTCTTTGTATTTAGTGCAGTTCTGTTACCAAGAACCAAGTACAACACAATGCATACCCACATACATAAACTTAGGTCAGGAGGATCTTCCTCCTGCAGCAGCATGACAGACTCAAAAAATGTGTTTATTTTCTTGTGCCTCAGTTATGCAGTGAATAGCACACCACATCTGCACAAAACTATGCCACTAACTCACCACTTGTTTTCTGTCTGTCCTTTTTTACCTGATTCCTTTTTCCAATCCTGACCAGTCTAACTATGTGATCCAGCCTCAGCCCTTTCTATCTTCCATCAAGTCTCAGTTTTCCATCCCACCCTGATTCCAGATCTTAGTTCGTGGGTTTCTGGCCCTCATCTCAATCTCCTTGATGACACTATCTGAAATTCCCTTGAACTTTCACTTTCTGGATACTCTGTTTGTTACTCAGATTCCTTACTGAATGGGTAGTTCTGCTTCAACATCTCTATTATATTAACTCTGTTAATATTAGGCACAATGCTCAGGACCCAGCAGGTAACCACTGAGGACAAGAAAGCCACTTCGTTTTCAGTTCAGGAACCCAGGTCTTACTTGGGTCGAGTTCAGAACTGCAGCTACAGGTCTTGTCAAACCCTAAACTCAAACATATCCAATATGTGTGGAATATTGAAGACTAAGAAGTCTACAGAGATCACACAAATTGATATTTTATTAATTTGCTGAATTGGGACACATTTTCACTACTGAAGTGAGGGGAGTTTTCTGAAGATTTCATTAAAAATAACTGAACTATTTTCCAGGACGATCTCTGACGAAAAGCTGTATCTCCCACCCACCCCGTATGTTAAGAATATATGCTGCATACAATTAAGAAGCTCTAGTATATTCAACCTTTAGTCCAGGGAATTTACTTCTACTTAGCGTGATTTTGAGACCAAGAACTGAATACAATACAATGCATATTGATACACATAAACTTAGAAGCTTAGCAGGATCTTCACTATAATTCCTGTTTCCTGCCAAGACAACAGCGCTGAACAGCAGAACTACTATGTTCTAAGTGGCTAAGAAGTTATAACTGAATTATTCTATTGCTGACTTCATAAAGCATGATAGGAAGGAATGTTGTTAAATTCAAATGCAGAGGGGCAAAGAAATGGATGAGGGAAGGAAGAGATGTAGAGCATAATGGAAGGAAAAAGAAACAGGACCCAAACAACAACCGAACTATTAGAGTAATACCACTTACTGTCTCCTAAGTTAAGGAGTAAGGATGTGTTGTGAAAGAAGGTGCAAGTTATGTTTACCATCTACTTGAAGGTAAGTCTGATTCCATGAGTCTTTCCTAGTGTTGATATCAAATATCAACGAAAATATTTTTAATTAAATTTTGATCTTACACTATTTGATAGAATGTTCCTTTGTTATTTTCTGGGCATACAAGCTCTGCATATGTTATATAAATGTGATTCAACTATTAGACTTCAAAAATTCCACTTGACGCATGTGCAGAACTGACCTTTTCTTTTCACCTTCTATCACCGTGCACTTAAGTTGCTCCAAGACAGGTATAGTAGATGAGTTCTTATCCCTTTCTACCCTTCAGCTGAATAGGTTTGCGTGCTCAAGCTAGATATTTGTGTGAAGCTCAGAGAAGTAATAATATAAATTTTTGAGATGTGCTCTGAGCTAATATGAAAGCAAAGACAAGTCCTAGCTTTTTCCCCATAATATATTAAACAACATGTGTACTAATAAACATGTACAGTTGTACCAAGCACACCTGAGTATGTAGCAAACTCCATCAATACCCAATAGTCATTAGAAATCCAAAATAACAAGTTTTTGAACTATATACGTTTTCCCTATGTCAAACCTCGTTTAACTTAGGAAACCTTTGCTAGGGTTAGAATGACAATAAAAATGTATTGAGACAAATTTAAAATCTAATAATTATTCTTACTAAGTCCAAGTGCTAAGTTGTTTTATTTCTTTGCTTACCCTTGCCAGAGAAGCTCATCATTGGCAAGATCCTGCCAGACGCATGAAGCTAGACAGAGATCAGTTGCATTCAGGTACGACAAAATGGTAAAACTAAGCTCTGGTGGCAGCATTTCCAGGTTAATGAATCCTTCTTGCTCTTTAGATTTTCTCGTCTTCAACAGATGGTAGATGTCAATGCCTCCTTGGGCTTGTTTGCGATGGCTGGTACTGGAAACACTGTTAGTAGCTATCCTCCTACCATGTTCTCTGGTGAGATAGCCTTGCCCACTGTATCCTTGGTGCTGCAGTTGCTGGTTCCTAGCAACTCTCCAGAGTCCCTGACCCATCTGCAAGCCTGCTGGACATAAAATCCGAATTAAATATTGTCAGCTATTTGAAAGTATTTGTAAGACAGACTTAGTACACACTGGAGAAATAAAATTCTAGGAGTGATCTGAATAGGAAAAAAAATAGTTTTGTCACAGTTACATTAACTATGTAATCTGTCTCCAGCGGAGCATCTGAATAAGTACTAAAAACAAAAAAAAACCCCCAAAAATGAAAAGATTTTTTCAAAAATTTCTCTGCTTGAAGAGAGGTATTTCTCACCTCCATCCCTGGAAAGGTGAGGGAATAACTTATCCTTGGTGCTGTCTCTGGGCAGATCAAGGATAAGAGGATCATTAGGAGCAGTCAGCATGGTTTTGCCAAGGGGGAGTCATGTTTGACCAACCTGAGAGCCTTTTATGAAGATGTAACCAAGTGGATGGATGGTGGCCGTGCAGTGGATGTGGTTTATCTGGATTTCAGCAAAGCATCTGACACTGTCTCCCACAGTACCCTCATAGCTAAACTGAGGAAGTGTGGTCTGGATGACCAAGTAGTGAGGTGGGTTGTTAACTGGTTGAAGGGAAAAAGTCAGAGAGTTGTGGTCAATGGGGCAGAGCCTAGTTGTAGGCCTGTGTCTAGTGGAGTCCCTCAGGGGTCAGTACTGGGACCAGTGCCCTTCAATATATTCATCAATGACCTGGACGAGGGATTAGAGAGCGCTGTCAGCAAGTTTGCTGATGACACAAAACTGGGAGGAGTGGCTGACACACTAGAAGGCAGTGCTGCCATTCAGAGAGACCTAGACAGGTCAGAGGGCTGGGCAGCATAGAATTTTGCACCTGTGAAAGAACAACCCCATGTGCCAGCGAAGGTTGGAGACTGAACTGCTGGAGAGCAGTGTAGGAGAAAGGGACCTGGGGGTCCTGGTGGGCAGCAGGATGACCATGAGCCAGCAATGTGCCCTCGTGGCCAAGAAGGCCAATGGCATCCTGGGGTGTGTTAGAAGGGGAGTAGCTAGTAGGTCAAGAGAGGTCCTCCTCCACCTTTGCTCTGCCCTGGTGAGGCCACATCTGGAATATTATGAACAATTCTGGGCCCTCAAGAGAGACAGGGAACTGCTTGAGAAAGTCCAGCGCAGAGCCACAGGGATGATGAAGGGAGTGGAACATCTCCCTTGTGAGGAAAGGCTGAAGGAGCTGGGTCTCTTTAGTTTGGAGAAGAGGAGGCTGAGGGGTGACCTCAGGAGGACAGAGCCAGGCTCTTTTCAGTTATGTCCAATGACAGGACAAAGGGCAGTGGATACAAGCTGGAACACAGGAGGTTCCACAAAAATATTAGAAAAAACTTTTTCACTGTGAGGGTGCCAGAGCCCTGGAACAGACTGCCCAGGGAGGTTGTGTAGACATTAAAAACCTGTCTGGATGCATTCCTGTGTGACCTACTGCAGGTGATCCTGCTGTGGCAGGGCGGTTGGACTAGATGATCTTTTGAGGTTCCCTCCAACCCCTGACATTCTGTGATTCTGTGTACTGGCAGAATTCACAATGAGCTTCGGAAATAGTATCAAATATTATCTATGTTCCACACAAGTTAAGATGTCTTAACCAATAGAATATTTGGAACTATTATCTTCAAACTTCCTTTAACATTTAATAAAAATAACTTATTTAGAGTCAATGAAGTACTACAAAACGTAAGGAGAAACAAATATGTACTGATTAGCACATGAAACTAGGCTGTGATTGACATTAATACATAGCTTAATTAGTTCAATGATACTGCAGTAATGATTCAGTTTCTTCTTTCTGAGAACCCAAAACATTTTCAAGCTTTCTGGCATAGTAGCATAAAAACTTCAGATTAAGGCTTCTATATCTTACTTATCACTGTGTTTGTTCTTTTTTTGTCAAACTTTGCTGCAGATGGTAATATAGAGAACAGATCCTGAATGATAGTCAGTTATCAAGATTTCTGAAAGCCACAACTCAAATTTCAGTAACCAACCGTATTTACCAAGAGGGAAAATTAAAGTATGATCAATCCTATGAATTCAGTATGGGAATGTCTTAATCCCATTACAGGTAGTGTATATATGGTGATCTAACCTATTTTTCAACCTTTGCTATAATGACAGATCAGTAAAGTGATCATACTAGGAATCTACAGGTTCCTGATGCTGACTTTCAAAAAAGAAACACTTAGGGCCTAGTCTAGTAGGATCTCACAGGGATTTGAAATTGTGTATGTTCTATTAGCACATGGAAGTAAAAATGAGACTTTAACACTGTTAAAGGCTGGACATGAATGGAAACTGTTCTACGTAAGCAGAAAAAAAAAAAGCCATAGATATGATGATGGATTATGGGAGAAAAATGGAGACATTACAGAAAAAAAAAGCATGGAAGTAAACAAAAGACACAGGTTCAGCTGGCTGGTGAAGCAGTTATATAAATAAGCAGCCATTCAGAGGAAGCTCCATAATTCATTTATCCATGAGGCCACAGTTGTGAAGAAACTGCAGTCACATGCATTATATTCAATTTAGTAATACACAATATTTTACATAAATTCATTATTATTTTTATCTTTTTTTGTTATATATTTGGCTTAATTATTTTACTATACAGTGGCAGGTTAAACCATGAGCAACTGCTATAAAGCATCAGGCAAGTTTAAGAAGCTTACTGAGTCACACCATATATAGCATATACAACTGGCTGCAAGACTGTAGGCAAATAATATATTCTCATTTTCTGGAGACCAGCAAAAGATTTTTGGAAGGCCTTAGGGCTACTGGTAAAGTTGCTTCACAAGAGGAAGCTGTACCACCACCTGCCCTTTAAAAAGTGGCAACACAAGGATGAGCAGTCTGATGAAAGTCGGCCTTGGTAATTCATGCTGGTGTTTGCAATTCATTTATGAAACTTCTAGCCATTAAAAAAATAAAAAATTCTTCACACGATGAAGAACGCTGCTTTTATTTTTCATTGCCTAAGTAGATTAAGAAGTAGCAACTTTTTAAAAAGAGACACTCCCAGACCTGCAGTTGCTCAGTGCCACCTTCTGGTTTTCAACAACTTTATCTCTCCACAGAGAAGGAAGTTACTAACCTTCATATCAAAAGAGAATCACCAAGCCTTGTTTACATTAAAACCAAGAGCTATCAAATGAATCAGTGGTATGTGTGCCAGAACCGGCATTTGGGACTACAAGAATAAACCCATTGAGTCTCCTGCCATTCCACTCCAGCTGCTGCTGGTTTTGCCACTGCTCAGCAGGCAGAGCATGCACTGATGTGCAGCAAAGAACTGAGCTAAAAACTGGGGTGTGTGGGTAGGCAGCAATAGCCAAGCACTGGAAGGAGACTGCCTTAAGGGATGAAAAGAGCAGATGTGGAATATTTCTGAGCAAAGATGGCATTTCAAAAAGGGGTATATCCACTGCCCTAGAGGACTCAATTAGTACAAAGCTCCTATTTTGCTAGGCACTGTATATGACCTTGTTAAGTACAGTACTTATTAGATACCTCTAAATATCTTGTGAGGCTTCAAACAGTTCTTGACCTTAGCCCCGTGAGTAAACTGAACACTGCCAACACGGCATTACACTTTCAAATATGCAGGTGCCACCTTTAGAGGCTATGTTCACTCTCAAAGATATCAGATGATCTGAATAACTGAATTATAATGATCTTCCAATTGAATTATGTAAAAAACCCAGGGTTTTGAATGAGTTAAATGTATACATACACCTGTACATACAACTCAAATATAACTCGCACACTTTCTCAGTGTAGCTTTTCATGCAAAACCAAAGTTGGCTGGAAAATAAAATGTTTGTAATTCCTCATCATTCTTGTCGGCACTCACAGAGTTTTTCTTCCCACTCTAAAGTTAATTGCTACATCACCAACAACATAAGCACTTCTAGATTATTTGACACGTGGCTCCAAGACAGAAAAAAAAATACTACATCATTCAAGATATTAGCCTTCTTATAACGTACTCACATACTTGTAGAGAAAATACCACTGTAAAATCGTAAAAGACTATTTTAATATAAAAAATGCTAAAAACTTATGTATTTGCTATTTTAAGTACCAACAGAAGAAATTTCAGAGAAGAAACAGTGAGGCCCAATTTAAACAACTCTAGAACCAGCTGTCAGTAATCCACAGGCCTTAATATATGTGCGGCTATTCCGCACCTTATATGCCATTTGTTAGTTCACATCTGATTTTCCTCATTACAGAATTACTTGCAACTTTGTCATAATCCAGGATGAACTCTTTTGAGAACTCGCTTGTAAACCAAGATGAGTAAGCTTGTTGTTATTACAAAGCCTTCTAAGTAATAGCATCCAGAAGTATATTTTTTTGGAACAGGTTGCCCAGAGAAGTTGTGGAAGCCCCATCGCTGGAAGCGTTCAAGGCCAGGCTGGATGGGGTTTTGAGCAACCTGGCCTAGTGGGAGGTGACCCTGCCCATCGAAGGGGAGTTGGACCTAGATGATCTTTAAGGTCCCTTCCAATTTAAACCATTCTATGATTTTCTTTTGAATGTACATTTTCAATTTTCAAATTCAAATATATGTTTCCAAACTGCCAGTTATGTAACTTTATCTAATAATTGGAAACTCTTGATTGCTTGACTGTGAGAACTATCACAGTAAAAATAACATCAAGCTTGTTTATAAATTGCTGATCTTCTCTGTCTCTGCCTGATATCTATCAATAGAGTCTGATTTCAATGTTAATCATGTGTTCTTCATGTTACTTTGTCACTGCATAACAAATTCTTTTGCAATGCTGAAGAGCATGACAGGATGCTAAAAGCCAAACGCAATGTAGATTAACGCCGTACCGGTACTGCCTTCTGCTTTATTAAAAAAACACCCCACAACACACCCTCCGCTTTCCGGTAGCCAAGCCCTGCAGATGCTGCTTCCCTCCTTTCACGTTGCCGAAACTGAAGCTTCGTTCACCGCAGCTGCATTCGCAACCGAGGCC